AACCAGTTTATATATACCAGTACATGCAATTATTTAAATGGCGAAGTAACGCGACGTATGCTTATGTAACACTCAATAATAAAAAAATCTCCACCACAAGAGTAATAACTATGTCTTCAGGTCTGCAATTCACCACTTCCCATGTAGAACAGACCAACAACATGTAGTGGCACCAACCCGGCTATACATTCATATCTCCAGAATTAATCCACCTGGAACCAATCCCCCCAAACTCAGGTCATCTCCTACAAAACAAAAATCACATTGGTTGTGGGGGGGGGGGTGGAGGACGGAGGGGAGCCGCAGGAAAAGGCCCTGGGCGACCGCGCAGAAACCTCGGAAGCCGCTGGGTCCGCTCCCACCCCGCTCTCGCCGCGCTTCCTGAGCCTCGCGCCTGGCGTCCACGGCCCCGTGAGTCACCCGGGATCTGTCCTCAGGACCCCGGTGTGCAGGGCCCAGCCAGGGCCTTTCTACTCTTACTCATTTTCATCCGAACTCCAGGAACTACCAAAAAGAAAGAAAGAACGGGGGTCGGGGAGGAGAGATGGATTGCCTAGGGCAGGGGAAGAGAGAGGGCTGGGAGGGCGCATACGCTAAAGAGCGGTCCCCCACTCGGAATCTTTATTACTGAGGATCGACTTTCTATCCGTCCTTGCAACACAGTGGAAACGAGTATGGAAAAACTTCCAAGAAATTTGTAGTTCCTAAAAAACATTTAAGAAAAAAAATTTTTTTGTTGTTTTAATCTAGAGAAGTAAATATAATTTGGGGATATTTTTCCATTAAAAACAATATATTTCCAAGGCAAGCGTAGCGAAAGGCAATGAAGCGCATTTGTTTTTAGTTTCAGGCCCTGGGGTGCTGGTGCGGACTAGCTGGCTGTGTACACAGCTCCCGGTCGCCTAATGAAATCGTGTAAATAATGAAATGCACACATTGCATAACAAACAGGAACTTTCCCGATCCAAGGAGGTGCCATGGCTACCTCCCAACCCCGTGTTAGTGACTTCAGCCCCTTGTTCCCAAGCCTTTTCAACGCTTTAGCCAGCAACCCCTGAGCAGGTAACACCACTTTTTTAGACGGTGTCTGTGTATAATAAACCCCGATGTGGGCCTTCAGTAAAGCTTGTTTTTATATGCGCTGTGCACTCATTAAAATGTGTGTTAGCAGTTTGAGTCGTGGGTTCCTAAATCATACCGTCCTCATGAACGCTTCATTGCTCGTATAAAGACAGAGATGCTCAGTGTGGGCATGTGGGGTTCTGTTGTCCACTGCCTGCTCAGCCCTCCCCTTTTTTAAAAAGCCACTTCACAGGCAATTAGAAATTCCTCCAGAAAATGGATTGGGACTGAAAGGGGGGGAATTCAACAATCTGCCACTTTCTCGAACGTTTAGCAAAATAGGTGAAAACTATTGGTCAACTTTAGCTGTGAGGGATTTCCTGTAATTCGAGTAATTTGTCTTTCTCCTTAACACAACACCAGAAAGTCCACCATTCAGAGGACTGAGCCACAGTCTGGGGGAAACTAAATTCTTTCTTTACTAAGTGTCTTTTGGTGTTCTTTAGTGAGTAGCCTCTCTCCTCTGCACCTTAGTGAGCCAGAGCTTGACAGAGCAGAACTCTGTCCTAAAGCTATAGCTTTTTTTTATTTTTTTCCAAATAGAAAGGGAGAGGGAGAGAGAATCATTGATCAGCTGCCTCCTGCATACCCCACACAGGGGATGGAGCCCGCAACCCAAGTATGTATCCTAACAGGGAATTGAACCTTGACCTCCTGGTTCATAGGTCAACGTTCAAGCACTGAGCCACACTGGCTGGGCTAAAGCTATGGCTAAAAAAGAAAAGAAAAGAAACACTACCCCAAATATTAACCACTTTCTTCTAAAGGAACATTTCATTTCTTTCTCCTTTCATGAAAACTTTTTCAGAATCTTGAAAGTTTTATAAACTTTCTTTTAGAAATATGTCCATGCATTCATCAAATGCTACAGCTAATGGACCTCATTGAAGGTTCCATAACAAAATATTTTTGCCACCCTGAGCCCATCAGCAATGTTCATTTCTCTCTGCCCCCAAAGGTATGTAGATGCTACATCATAGCCATTGTGTGACCACCAATTGTATTTAAAGTGTCACGTGAATGATAGACATGTTTACCAAACCAGAGGACAGTAAAGTCACCATGGTAAAAACTCCACTTCCCACAAGTAAATGGTGTGCCACATTTACAGCAGATAAGCTAAAAGACTGAATTGTTAATGCTGAATTTTGCCGCTAACAGATAATTTTGTATATAGCCAACAATGAATCACCATTCATACATGCAGTTCACTACCAGACAAACATGTTTATCCGCATTTGTTCTTTCTGAATTTTTCAACATCATGTATATAATGTAACTCCTCTCAAGCCTACGGTACCCTGTCCATCAACATATGAGCCATTCCACTGTACATCCAAATATTCAATTAACAGCCTTAATTGCTTTGAGACTATATGCTTCAGATTTCTGCTAATTAACAGCACCTTAAGACCTTCTCTTCTCAGGTCCCTGTACTATATTATCACTAAAGATGGAATTTCTATTTCTAGTTATTATAAGGTATCTGCCGCCATAAAACCTAAACACACAGATCAAAGATATAGGGCAATTCTTGGATTTACAAAATAGAACAAGCACACCTCAATCTAATACCAAAGAATCTAAAAATATTCATGCTCTATATTTGAACACAAGTACTCCACATATCCCTTTATATAATTTTAATGCATTTCAACCTAAGACCATATTTGATTCCTTACATTATATTATTTACTTTTAGTGTTTGCGTAACTAACACTAAACAACATCAGTAGCATAATTCATTTTTTTTATTTTTATTGATTTCAGAGAAGAAGAGAGAGGGAGAGAGAGAGACAGAAACATCAATGATGAAAGAGAGAGAGTCATTGATGCCTCCTCCTTTCCCCTCATTGGGATCGAGTCCACAACTAAGGCATGTGCCCAAACCAGGAATTGAAATGTGAGTTCCTATTTCCTGGGTCGATGCTCAACCACTGAGCCAGAATGGCCAGGCAGTAGAACAATTTTATTAAAACTAAGGCCTATAGCCGAACTGGTTTGGCTCAGTGGATAGAGCGTCGGCCTGCGGACTGAAGGGTCCCAGGTTCGATTCTGGTCAAGGGCATGTACCTTGGTTGCGGGCACATCCCCAGTGGGGGGCATGCAGGAGGCAGCTGATCGATCTCTCTCATCGATGTTTCTAACTCTCTATCCCTCTTCCTTCTTCTCTGTAAAAAAATCAATAAAATATATATTTTTTAAAAACTAAGGCCTATATTGCTAATTACTATTTGATACTAAGAGAATATAAATAGAGGCACCTAAAAGGGACAGACTACCTAGATGTCAAAGGAACAAAGAGAGAAGATTGGGTCCAGCACGCCATACCCACACAACCCTTTCTTGCCAATCTTTTCTCACCAGTTGCTATCTTACCAAGCTTTCTTACTGTGTTGGTGGGTTCTGGCCCTAGAACAGACATAAATAATTATTACCTTCTCATGTGCACCTCATGATCCGGGAACACCTCAAGGATAGAGCTAACATGTGCACGTCAGATGACTTCTCACCAGATTGTAAATCTCTGAACTTCAACGACAATGAATTATGTTCCTTCATAAGCCCTCAAGGAATGCACAGTTCCCTTGGGGAGGGGTGGGAAGTAAATAATTAACAATAATAAAGGCAATGGAGATGCAAGTACCATTACATCTAAGGATGATGCAACTCATATGCATGGAAACAATCCAGGATGGTTTCTTGGAAAAGATATCATTCGAGGCAAACCAAAAAGGATAAATAGGATTGAGGCGGGAGGGTGTGCACTGAGTGAGTGGATGGCATTCCAGGCATGAGCAATGGTGCTGAATAATGGCAGTGCTTGTTGAAGACCAATTCTCTCCTTAAGTACCTTCTGTGACCTGTCAAACCCAATCCAAATTACTCAAAAACTGTGGGCTTCAATAGGCTCATGCCTGAAGTAGGACACTTCTCTGGTTGGTTACTTTGTTAGCCTGATTTCTGTTTTGTTAGTAAGACCATAAAAATTTTCCTCATTATATACATTTTGATTTTTGACGATTTCAATCTTTTGTTTATAAGCCAAAAAGCTCTGATTCTTTCTCTCTTTTTTTTTTGCGTGAAAGCTGATGTCTATTATAATTACACTGCATCTTACCATCTGAGTAGAAATCTTGCACATGAATCGTTTGATGTAAAACAATTGCCCATCAAGACATACATATACCTGGTAAAGGTAGAGATATGAACAGAGCATAATAATATTCTAACAGCAATTATATAACATTTGAAAGATTAACAGTATTGTTCCCTCTCCCTTACCCCTACTCTCTGGACAAGTGGAAAGTGGATGTTCAAGGTCACTGTCATTCATTTTTCACAGTCTGAGGGACCTTTGAATGATTTAACATAACCATATGGCCATACTGTTTTAAAGGGCATTAACATTCCTATTAAGCTCTTGAGAATTTTGACCCTTCTTAAGTGTCAGAGAAGAGATATTCTGCAGATAAATTAGGATCAACTGGATGCATAATATACCAAGTGTTTGGACTCATCTGTCTACCTCAGACCCCATGGGAGGTAATGGAGTTAATGAAATGCTGTTTTCTATTATACAAGAGTATTTGATAATTTGCTTAGCCTCTCTCTTGGCACAGAAAGTGCTGCA